TCCCCTTAAATGAAAAGCCACAAAACAAAATAAGCAGGAAGAAAAATAGAAAATTACAACATGAAGTTAAATAACATGCTCCTGAATAACCAATGTGCCATTAAAGAAATGAAAATCAAAAACCTTGAAGCAACCAATGCTACTACATGACCTATGAGTCAATGAATAAGAAAAAAACATTTTTGAAGAAATGAAAATAAAAACAAAAATATCAAAACCCATGAGATATAGCAAAAACAGTATTGAAAGGGCTATTGATCTTGTGTTTTGCATGAAGGCTGCCTTATATCAGAGAGAACATATGGTATTTGTCCTTTGGGGATTGACTTATTTCATTGAGCATAATGATCTCTAGTTGGGACCATCTGATTGCAAATAGTAGAATTTTATTCTTTTTAATGGCTGAATAGTATTCCATGGAGTAGATGTACCAAAGTTTCTTTATCCACTCCTCTTTGGATGGGCATCTGGGTTGTTTCCATGTCTTTGCTATTGTAGATTGTGCTGCTGTAAATACAGGATTACAGATCCCTTTCTCATATACAGATTTCATTTCTTTTGGATATATTCCCAGAAGTGGGATAGCTGGTCACTTTTCAGTTCTCTTAGCACTCTCTATGCTGATTTCCATAGTGGTTGTACTAGCCTACACTCTCATCAACAGTGAAGGAGGGCACCTTTCTCCCCACATCCATGCCAGCAGGTGTTGCTAGTAGAGTTCTGAATGTAGGCCAATCTCACTGGAGTTAGGTGGAACCTCAATGTGGTTTTCATTTGTATCTCCCTGACAGCTAGGGAGCCTGAGCATCTTTTCATATGTCTATTAGCCATTTGAATTTGTTCTTTTGAAAAATGTCTGTTCATTTCCTTTGCCCATTTCTTCACAGGGTTGTTTGTTTTGCTTTTGTTGAGTTTCTGAAGCTCTTTATAAATCCTGGATATTAGTCCTTTATCAGTTGTATAGTGTGCAAAGATTTTCTCCCATTCTGTTGGTTGCTTCTTCACTTTGCTGATCGTTTCCTTTGCTGTACAAAAGCTTCTCAGCTTGATATAGTCCCATTTGTTTATTTTGGCTTTGACTGCCTGTGCTTTTGGTATCTTTTCCAAGAAGTCTTTCCCCATTCCTACATCTTGGAGAGTGCTTCCTATGTTCTACTTTTCTAATAGCTTGAGGATTTGTGGGTGCAGATTTAGGTCCTTGATTCATTTAGAGCTGATTTTTGTGTAAGGTGACAGGTAGGGGCAGGGGGCTTCTTACCTCTGCAGGTTTCTATCCTATTGTCCTGAGAGACCAGATTTTTTCCCCCTGGATTATTTTCAGTTTTCTTGTCAAAGATTAGTTGGCTGTACATGTGTGGGCTCCTTTCTGGGGTTTCTATTCTGCTCCCTTCACCTTCTCTGCAAACAGATTTTAAATGAATTTGATTTCTTCATGGGCAAAAATGAAATAAGGAAGAACTGCCAGTCATACCCAAAAATATTGTCTGATTGAGTTAAGACTTTAAAGGATCTCGGGGACTTAGCGCTTGCTGAGTGAATGAATGAATGTCTGGAGACACAAGAAGCAAGGTGCAGGTTTCCCAAGGTTCAAGTTATTGTTTCTACAAACCACATGCTCAAGCTGGGCTTCAAATCAGATCCTGCAGGCCTCTGTTTCCAGACTGACTGAGGACCACTGAGAAATAAACTCATAAACCATAAGAAAAACAGACAAGGTAGCTTTGTTCATCCCTTACTTAAATTATTCAGACTGAGTGCAACCAAGTTCACCAATTCAACCACCACCACAGGGAGAGAGGCTCTCAAATTAGGGGGTTGGCATTCTGCTGGTGGTAGGTGGTGGCAAAGGCTTCCTATCACCAAGGTGAGGACAGTCCCAATGCTGTGTCATCGCCATGGGGGAGCTGAAAGTGAATAACTGCTCTCACAAATGTTACCATCTTCCTTTCCTTATTTTGTATTTATTTTTTCAGGTTTGTATTTCTTCTTAAAGCATCTGTATATGAAAAATTCAACAGGATCGTTTTAAATTCTTGTTCCCTCTCATTCTTTGATGACATACATGTAAATATATCTTACATGATTGTATCTTAGTGTGTGCAATTTTGTGTTCTGATCTGTTCATTTATTTTACAAAGCACTGTTTTTATCTTTCCATTTGTTCACTTGCTTATTCAGTAAACATTTATAAAATGTTCCCAATGGGTTTCAGGCACTCTTCCAGGTAGAATGAATATAAACACAGTTAGAAACCAGGTCCCAGCCACTGGAAAGCGCTCAGTTTAGTGGAATATAACAGATAATTACAATGCAAGGTATCATAATAAATACACATTTAAGGTCCCCTGTATTTATACCATCTTAATGGCTTCATAATCTAGCAGGATAATACCTGAACAATTTAATATTCTTTCTTGAATATTTTTCATTACTGTAAACACCGATATAATTACTATGGTTCCCATTTTTTTCTTTTGCTAATCATTTTCTGTAAATAAATTCTTATGAATGAAGTCATGGTATCAAAGAGTATTATTCAGATTTTCACAGCTCTTAATACATCTTGTTAAGCAGCTTCATGCAAGAATCACATAGATAAACAAATCCTTCGGTACTGTAAGCTTTGTCACCAGTCTTACTAATAAACACTGTGTCACATTTTTCCTACATATTGTCTTATTCTGTATTTCTTTAATGAGGATGTAACATTTTCTCACAGTTAGGCTTTACATTGTGGGATTTGTTTATGGAAAATTTATCATTTCTCATTATCATAGCCACTTCCTAGTACATTTTTATGTTATATAATTTTGTCATTATTACATTTTTTTCTGATTTGTCAATATCTTTCATGAGCTATACTACTGAAAATTTTACTTTTTTAAAAGTAGTTATATCTGTTTATATCTTTTCCCTTTTAATTTCTCTCATAGTGACAATCTTATGGAATGTGTCCTTCTATCACTGAAATGAACGTTTTACTCTGCCAACCATACATTTGTCACTCACCCATCTCTTACTATCTCCTTTGTTCCCTGCATGACACAGGGATTACAAAAAATGAGTGACACAATAATACAAATATTCCAAAACTAGAAAATAACTTACACATAGCCTCCCAGCAACACACTGGGAACCCCATTAGCTGCTTCCCTAGGGACAGGTGTCTTTGTCTGGTACACCATTATTTATAAGGCTTGCTAACCACTCTGTTGGTGAGGATGCTAACTGGTAGAAACTAAAAGCAATGCAAGTAATTGTCAGATGGCAATAAAAATACACTCTGACCTACAGAGATGCAAACAGTATGTCCCTGCAGGAAAGATAACACTTCAACGGCCATCATGTTATCGTTCTGCACGCTATCACAGAGTTTTGCATCTAGCAGTCTCAGCCAAGCGTGTTTCCTTCTGGTTATTTTAAATACTTGGCTCTTTTAAATTCTCTTTGAGTCAGTCTTACCATCTTCCAGATCCCTTCATTAATGGGTTGAATAAAACTCTCACTGTGCTCATGTTAGGATAGTTGAGTCAGGAAATTCAGCTTCTAGCAGCAACCCTGCCACTTCCAGCCACTCAACAGGTCACTAAGAGTCTTCCTTAGCATCTGGGGTCATTTTGTATACATCATGGGCTTCTGTAAGGCTAAATGATATTCATAAAATTATATTTCTATACACAGACACAAGCTGAGTATCCCTGATTCAGAAACACTCCAGAATCTAAAACCAATCTACTCCTGATACTCAAAAGTTTTGGAGTTTGCAGTACTTTTTCAAGTCTTAGATTTTCAGGGTAGGGAGATTCAATCAGTTAACTTTAAGAAAGCATTCCAAAATCTCAACCCTGAAGTCTCTAACTATTATGGTTGCAAGCATTTCAGATAAGGGGTATTCCACCTATGCAAGCACTGAATCAGAATGAACTACCAGGGTCCAATGTTGTGGCATTGCGGGTTAGGCTGCCACCTGGGATGCTATCATTTCTTATGAGTGCTGATTTAAGTTCTGGCTGCTCCATATTTCATTCATCTGCTAGGAAAGCAGGGAAACACAGCCTGAGGATTGGGTCCCTGAAACCATGTGGGAGACCCGGATGGAGTCCCTGGCTGCTGGCTTCAGCCTGAACCAGACTGGGTCAATTGCAGTCACTTAGGGAGTGTACCAGTGGATAGATGTCACTCTGTCTCTGGCACTCTGTTTTTCAAGTAAATAAATGCATCTTTTTTAAAAAAAAAATGAGTAAATGATGATGCCCTAAATTAAAAGCCTGCTACTGTCCAGGCCTTTCAGAGAGTGAAACCTGAAAAGCCCACCCCGGGACTGGAAGAGCCATTTCCCCAGCAGGGCTGGTTCTGCAGAGCCAGGGGCAACAGGACAAGGGTCTGTGGTGCAGAGGAGGGAGCGAGGGTCCCGCTCCCCAAGAAGAGGCACCTGCCCCCTTTTGCTGCCTCAGCCTGCACTGGCCAGAGTCCCCTGAGCCTCTCCTCACCTCCACAACAAAGTGGCTGAGATGAGCCTGAGCACTAACGTGATGACTGTCACACATGCCACAGATGCACATCTGCTCGTCATATACATCACTTCTTTTTCCTTCCGTTGGTATTCCATAGTATCCCCCAGAACAAACACTTACTTCATACTTGAGAGATGAATCCAGGTCCAGACACCTAGAACCTTCTGTTCGCTAAAGCAGAAGAGAAAGCTGATGGCACTAGGTTGGAACCTCCGAGCTACTCAACAGGCTGTGTTAGAAGGACAAGGGTGCCAAACGGCCTCCCATTGAATCCCGACGGGACTGGTGGCATCCCTCTGTGGGAACTCATTTCCTCACATAGGGGACTCAACCTGCTGATGCATAAGGTCTCCTGGAGCTCCAATACCTGCAGTGTCAAGGCCACAGAGCCTGCACATGTGCAGTAAGGGCTCCTGGGCAGCAGAGGCAGGCTGGCAGCTCTGACCACACACAGGAGGCAACGGGACCACCCAGCAGCTCACTTACCTCGCCTACCACCTCTATGATGTCGCCAACTTTCAGCTCCAGCTCATCGTCATTCTGGGGCAGGTAGCTGAATGCCACCTGACACCGCCGTCTCCGTCGTTCGCCTGCATGGGAAAAACAAAAGCATTTAGACATAGCTCATCTCGCAAATTCAGACTTCAGAAGAGAGGCTTCCTAGGCATGCAGGCAAATTAAGCTGACTGGTCTCAGATATCTCTCTGGGACATGACTAGAGGCACAGCAGCCCTGGTCCCTTAAGAGAGAGGCAGGAGAAAGCAGAGCAATGCTTCTTGGTCTTTTAAAAGCTGCTGGGCCAAAGAGGCATGGACATGAGAAACTGATCCAACGGTGCAGAAGGCAGAGGCCCCACCCCGAAGCACTGGAGCACAGTGTTGCCTTAAACGGTTTTCCATGGATGGGGCTTTAGATTTGCTGCTGCTGGGTTTTAATGAAAGCTGATGCGATGTGCTTAGAGAAAAAAAGAATGGTCTGCTTCTGATGCTAGCAAGGCAGGGGGCTTCTTCCCCAAGGTGCAAAGGAACAGATAAAGGCTCCTGGCCTTTCTCTTCCTAATCATCACCCTTTCAACATGCCGAGACTGGGGCCTGATAAACAGGCCAATTCAATTGCAGCCTGCTCTAGACACCATTTCAAACTCCCCCGAGGGGTTCAACCAATCTACTTCTGGTCTCCTCTTTCCATCCCAGGGGACTCATAAATAGGCTCCCTGGCTGCTTGCACACAAGTAACCCAGGAAAATCCACACAGAAGCCAGGACCACACTTGGTTTGACTGGAGGACACTCCACAGTTGCACCATCTCACTCCCTCGGTGTGGGCCCACCTGGGAAGCCCTGGCTCATACTACAGATGCAACTGTCCATGGAACAGCCATACTTGGCTGCGCACTGTGGGGAAAATACACACTCTGCAGGCCGGGGATGGCAGAGGCATGCACAGCAGAGACAGACATGCCGCAGTGGGGTTGCAAGCCTAGGGAAGGAGGACAGGACTGGAAAGGGAACCACGCTGCTCCCGAGCTGGTTGCCCATGGCTGATAGCCTCACACCATGCCTTGCTGCCACCACATCCAACAGGATGGAGGGCTTCAAAGAAGCACGGTTAGAAATGCTCCAGGTATTTCTGGATACTGCCTACTGGAACTGTTTCTCTTTTCTCATCTTCTCCCTGAGAGAGGAAGTGACAGCAGATATGATCTCCGGGCACAGCGTGCCATCACAGTGAGGGAAGGAAAGGTCTCTACGCTGTAGCCACTATGCCTCCTGATGGGTGTAATGCAGAGTAACGGGCCTTAGTCTCACTGAAGAAGTGCAGACGGGAAGGCAGCAAAGAGGACATCAGCGCATCACATCCTTGGCAACTCTAGAAACACTCTCCACTCACCCCAGTGTACAGAATCACAAGCCAGTGGAAAGGACAAGACCTCACCCTGCAGCCCCTGAGAAGTATAGCTCATCCTTCGTGCCCCCAAGGATGCAGACTCCTCCCGCTAGCACTGGAAGTACAGCAGACAGGTGCTCCAAGCACTAGTCCTCTATTCTTGTGCCTCCTTTAACCTTAAAGAGGGGTGGAGAACATCTGGCCCACAGGCAACATAAGGCCTGTGCTATCATTTGGTCTGGCCCTATCAAAGCAACCATGGGAAGAGGGGCCTCCAGGTCCAACACACCTATAACAGGTTACATTTTTCAGTTGATCATTTTGTGGGGCTTGCAAATGATGTTGTAAATATCCAAATGGCACTTGACAGAAGAAAGGTCCCTGGCCTCTGCTAAGATGAACTTCTACTATAAATCTTGAAGACCTTTTATTTTCTAGATATTCGGCTGAAAACAAACCCTGCAGACACAAATGTGAACATGAAATGAGTAAAATGACAGATGTGTGAAAACTGACATTAACACTCAAAGAATTCTGCCCAAGTCCCGACGGAGTGCCTGAAAACACCTGAAGGCCTAGTGTTAGCCAAGTTCATCCAGCTTAGGCCCGTGCAGGCTCACATCTCCAAAAGCTCTCTGCAAAACACGACTGAGGCCAACACTGAAGGGGGGGGGGCAAGGAGAAAGTGATGATATTCTTGGAGAAGAGAAATCCACTAGGTTGAGGACATGGAACAGAATAATTGCACTTCTTTCTAACCAAAAAGAACAATGCATTTGCTACCACACCCTTTCCAGGCTAGTGAGTGAGTCTCAAAAACCTCTATGAAGGCTACTCAAGGAGCAAGCTTTGTGGCACAGTGCGTTAAGAAGCTCATTGGGGTGCTCTCCTTCCAGGGTGCCTGGGACCAAATTCCAGTTTCTGATTCCAGCCCCTGTTAAGCTGCTGGGAAGTAGGACAGGGTGGTCCGAGCACTCGGATTCCTGCCACCCATGTGAAAGACCAAGGCAGAGCTCCGGGGAGTGAGCCTGTCCATGGATGCAAGGCCTCTTCCTCCTCACACCTCTCCCTTTCTCTCTGCAACACTGACTTTCAGAGAAGCTAAATGTAAACTCCAAAGAGGCAGCATGAGTGAGCATTTTGCCCATAAGAAAACCTGAGCCCTGTAACTGGGCTAGTAAGCTGCACTTGCTTCCCTGGCCTGGACTCACAGCTCGCTCCCTGATGGGGGATGAAACCAATTCATTTGCCTCTTGTCCCAAAGCCTTCACACATTGTACTTAACTGCCTTCTCTAACGCCACACCATCACCTCACCTGTCTGCCACAGTACGCTTGTTACAGCTTTTCCAGGCCTCCCCCCTGCCCCGTCACTGCACTGGACTCGCTTGCCTCTTCTACCTGATCTATCACCTAGTTCAAGGGGGCTGTGTGAAGCTAGGAGAGTGATTTTCAGTTTAACTGAATGAAGTTTAAAGATGCCACTTTCTCCTCTTGTGGCATTTTACTGATGTTTACCAGTGAGCTGTGTCTTCCTCAAAGAGGTAGATGGATGACAAAGCCATCGCCTTTCAATAGCAGGTGCAAACTGGCGGGAAAAATACCAGCCTTGTAGGCCTGGCAAGATAGCATAGCAGCTAAAGTCCTTGCCTTGAATGCACCAGGATCCCATGTGGGAGCCGGTTCTAATCCCAGCAGCCCCGCTTCCCATGCAGCTCCCTGCCTGTGGTCTGGGAAAGCAGTTGAGCACAGCCCCAAAGCCTTGGGATCCTGCACCCGTGTGAGAGACCTTGAAGAAGCTCCTGGCTCCTGGCTTTGGATCAGCTCAGCTCCAGCCACTGCGGTCACTTGGGGAGTGAATCATCAGATGGAAGCTCTTTGTCTCTCTGTCTCTCCTCCTCTCTGTGTATCTGTCTTTCCAATAAGAATAAATAAATCTTTTTTTTTCTTTTAAATCTGCTTTGCCTCCAGCTTGGTTTTGGAATTCTTTACCCAGAGCTACTGCCATCATATGCCCAGGTGAACTGGGCATGGAACTTCTGAGGGAAATTCCAGTTTTACTGTATTCGGTTGGGATTCTTTTTATATGGAATAAACTGAATCTTGGAAAGTTTTCTATATAAAGCTAAATAAATTTGCTGATAATGGCAACAATATAAATCTGTGTTAGAATTGGGAAGGGAAGTCTATGCTTTGGCTCACTCCTGACAAAGCAGCTGCCACTCTCCTATGTCACTCTGTGTGTTTTCCAGGCAAGAACACTTAGGTCCTAACACATAATTTTAACGAATGGGCATATTTTTATTTAGACACACAAGAGAGAGATGTAAATGTATACACAGGTTACTAAACAAATAGGAATAAAGTAGTTTCATCAAGCATACCTGGTATGTCTCTTCTGTACAGCCACACTGTTGACCATGAACTATACATGCTTGCGCACAGGTTTGCATGCGAATACGCAGGCATATACACAGTGCAAGGCGGCCACAGCCTCCCCTATCTCACAGCCGCCTTCCCTTCATGACCAGCTCTGTCTAATTTAGTCATGACTCAGCTTTACTGAGCACTTACCAGGTACCAGAAACTACTTCATACATCTTCCCCCCCACTCCCATGCTCAATACTCACCATGGGCGTTCAGGGCAAATCCCTGATGCCCTGCGTTTTCACAGACCAGGCACACTGCAGAGGCACACAGAGATCAAGTACTTTGCCATAGTCTGAGGGCTAGTAAGCAGTGGTCTAAGATTTCAGCACAACTCCATCAGAAATGCTTCTTCCCACAACCGGCTGCCCGCCTTAGCTGGATGAGATTAGACGGAGTTAAATGGTGGGGAGCAAAAGGTTTCTTTTACAAAAGGCTTGTAATTAGGGCCCAGCACTTGGCTCAATTGGCTATTCTCCCCTTGCAAGTGTCCCACAGGGGCGCCAGCCAGTTCACAGCAGGGAGTTTTCTGCTTGTGGCCTGGGAAAGCAGTGGAGGATGGCCCCAAAGTCTCCTCCCACGTGGGAAACCCCGAGGAAACTCCAGGCTCCTGGCTCCTGATTAGCTCAGCTCTGCTGTTGTGGCCTCTTGGGGAGCGAACCAGTGGATGGAAGATCTTTCTGTCTCTTTCCTCTTCACTGGAAATCTACTTTTCCAAATAAAAATTAATAGGTCTTTTTAAAAAAGACTTGTAATTAATAAATACAGAAATTGTGGAAACAGACATACAGTTTGAGAATCATCACAGTAATAGCTGATTCCACCAAACACCGACTGTTTGCTGAAATTACCATGTGAGAGCTTCCGGAAGATGCGGGTATTCATAGGTTCTCAGTGTGTCTCCTCACACATTATTAATTGTAAAAGAAAAAAAAAGCACCCTTAGAATGGAGAAAGCTGGCAAACCACAACCTCACTCAAGTGACCAACATTACTACCCTCAGCACAAGACAACCCGACATCACATGCCTCCTGACTGGGTCCTCTTTTCCCATTCGCGTCACCTCCAGATTGCAAAAGCTCTCCAGAAGATTCATGGAAAATGACTACTATGAAAGCCACAGAGACTCTAAAATTTATTGCAACAAAGTAAACTTGCTTTTAATTTCATTTTCCATGACATTTTGATCATTGTACACGTGCCATAAACACATCATTTCCTTAAATCCAAGCATGCGGAAACAGTTAAGCAAATCCAAAATGAGGGGTATTCTATG